ACGACTCACTAAAATCTGAGAACTGCATTCGTGTGACCTCTTGCATGGCTTGGCACCGGAGACAGAAGGTGCTACACAGTTGCATACTTTTACGGCGACGGTAGTCCAATAGAGCGGTCAGCATGGCAAGAGTCTTAACATTCAGCAAGTATCCATCCAACTTTCTGCCTTATTGCATCTGATCTGAGCGCACAAATGAAAGTGGAGTTGTGCTGCATCACTCGCACTCCTCCCTCCCTCACCGGCCCGAGGCCGGTAACAGGGCACAACCAGGAAGATAGGAGACGGGATTAGGCGTAACGGCTCCGGGTCTTGACGAAGAGATATTTTTGCAGGGGTTTTCAGAAAATCGAAATTGTAGCGTTTGTTGTACTCAAGCATGTAGATATACTTGTAGCCGATTTCCAACATTGCTTTGTCCGACGTCCTTATTCAGGGCCAGCTGCCTCAAGATCATGCATTATCTCAGTCAGCGCTTCCAGACGCGCTGACCTGCAGACGCTTGACTGACTTCCACTTCGACACACTTGGACACGCACTTGCGTTCAGGTAGTCGCGGCTCCCCAAGGGCCACTTGGACACGCCCCTTTCCCCCTCCTTCGGCCGACACACCTTACGCCACCAGACACGACACCCATTGGGTAATGTCATACGCACCAATTGGAGAACACTTGAACCTACTCCGTATTAGGCAGCTGCCACCACTGTCTCTTTCTATCTATCCGTCCTGGCTGGATGCAGTCAGAACTGGGCATGGCTTCGATAGTGGCCATTGCCGTCTGAGACAGCAACTGGAAGTTGCTTAAGTAGGATTACGGAACAGGTTCATGTGTTCTCCAATTGGTGCGTATGACATTACCCAAGGGATTTCGTATCTGGTGGCATAAGGTACGTCGGCTGAGATAGGGGAAAGGGGCGTGTTTAAGTGGCACTTACCCTACAGGATTCAAACCCCTCTCTATCCACGTATCGCACAACTCCACTGTAACGAATCACATCTACCTACATAAAATAAAAAGGAAGGTTTTGTAACAATGACCCAGGGAGTTACATACCATATCCGCACAGTAGGTGGATTCTCTTCCCATGCCCACGGTCGGATTGAGGCCACGCGAGTCTTGGTCCTGGCCTAGCCAGAGCTCGAAGCCAATAAATGTACAGTATTTCACTGATTGGCTGTAGGCGACAGGGGACATGTCCCGGGGTTCCTGTAATCCCGCCCACAGACAAACAACAACGGGTCTGAGGAGACTACGATTAAAACGTGCTCTTGGAAAGCTCTTTTCACAGTAAACACTGCCTAACCTTATCAGTCTTCCCTGACTTCTGACTTGAGAAACCTTTCGCTGTGGACCTCACC